AACAACCAGTTGGCCAATCAGCACACTGCATGCCCTCCAAGCCTGGAGGCATACCAATCGTGAGCCTCTGTGTACCCCTAGACACTCCCTTTATGCTGCCCTACAAGATCTCTCTCTGCAGCCGGTTCAAGCTGTTTTTTTTTTTGTAGCCAACCGCCATGGTGGGTGGACAAAAGAGCCAAGCTAATATGGAGTTAGCTCGTTAAATTACAATAAAGCCTCATGCAGTTTGCAGCAAGCTCTCGTATCTGCCTGGTGATTGGGGTGACCCCGAGGTCGTGGCCCTGGATCCTGGATAACTGAGTTTTTCCTGGGGTCTAACATATTTTAGCAAGAAATTATTTTCTTCAGAATCCTCTTATGTCCTTAGCCAGCAGGGATATGCAAATCTGTCATGACCCGGCATGTCTCAGCCTTAGTCCATGACAGCCATGAGGTTCGACCTGAGTGGGGGTGTGTGAACCTGGAAGCTCCCAGCAACCCAACGGTGATAAAGATCAAACACAGGCATCTTGTCATCTTCAGAGAGCTCTCAGTTCCATGTTGTGGAACTAGAGTCATTTCTTTATTAGCCATCTTTTCTCGTGTTTCTTAGCCATCCTGCCATTACCAGGAGGGAATCATCTTCTTTGTCCCTCTCTGCTCTGGCAGCTTGCCCCTTAACTCCTAACTTTCTGTCCTCACAAGTTATTCACATACCTCTTGCCCCTAGCCCAGGTGAGGGCCTATTCAGATGCTTAGGCACATACAGATGAAAATAAGAGGCATATTACCCTGAGGCTATGGTAAACATAGTAGCCTTACTGGCATTAAAATTACAATAGTGGGCTGGAGCTTTCAGGTGTTCCATGTTTAGTGAAACCAAAGGCAGGATCTCAAAATATTCCATAGTGGAAAGATTTTGGTCCCCCACACAAATCAAAACGTTCTAAGATACCATCTTACACCAATCAGAATGACTAAAATAAAAAAAAAAAGAATGACAGTTTATGCTGGAGAGGATGTGGAGAAAGGGGAACAATTCTCCTTTGTTGGTGGAAGTACAAACTTGTACAGACACTTTGGTAATCAGTATGCTGGTTTCTGCAGTAAATGGGAACCAGTCTACCTCAAAACCCAGCAATTCCACTCTTAGGCAAACATTCAAAGGATGCACATTCATAAAATAAGGACATGTGTTCAACTATGATCATAGCAGCTTTATTTGTAATAGCCAGAACCTGGAAGATGCCCCTCAACAGAAGAATGAATACAGAAAATTTGGTACATTTACTAAATGGAGTAATACTCAGCAGGAAAAAAAAAAAACAATGAAATCTTGAAATTCGCAGGAAAATGGATGGCACTAGAAGAAACCATCCTGAGTAAGGCAGCCCAATCACAAAAAGACAAACATGGTATTTATTCACTCAGATATGGTCATTAGACATAGAGAAAGGGTTACCAGCCTACAATCCACACCTCCAGAGAAGCTATGAAACAAGGAGGACCATGGAGAGACATAAATGGTTCTCTGGTGAAGGGGAAAAGTACAAAACTCCTGAACATATTAGGAGCATGGGGGAGATGTAAAAAAGAGTAGAGAAGAGGAAGGGGAGGAGAACATGAGGGATCAAGAAGATTGAGTTGGGCGATGAATGGAGGAGATCATGAAAAGAGACATATCAATAGAGGACACCATTGTAGGTTTAAAAAGATCTGGCAGTAGGGAGTTGTACAGATATTCACAAGGATGACCCCAACTAGGAATCTAAGAAATAGTGGAGAGGCTACTTTAAATGCCCTTCCCTATAATGAGAATGATGACAACCTTAAATGTCATGCTAGAGCCTTCATCCAGTAGCTGATGGAAGCAGAAGCAGACATCCACAGCCAAGCATTGAGCTGAACTCCTGGAAGCCAGTTGTAGAGAGAGAGAGGAGTGACAAAGGGGTCAAGACCTTGCTGGGAAACCCCACAGAAACAGCTGACCTTAGGAAGTGAGATCTCATGGACCCCAGTCTAACAGCTGGGCAACCAACATAGGACCACACCAGGACCCTTCACTCTGGGTTTCAGTTAGGAGCAGTGGGCAGTCTCTGGGTCCTCTGGCAGTGGAACCACTATGCATCTCTAGTTCATGAATGGTCTTCAGGACCCCATTTCCCATGGAGGAATACTCTCTTATCCTAGATACACAGGGGAGGGTGTAGGCCCTGACCCAAAGGACTTGACAGATTTTGATGATTCCTCATGGAAGGCATCTCCCTTCCTGGGGAAGGGATGGGTGATGGGATGTGGGTGCCCATGGTAGTCATGGGAGGATGGGATTTGTGAGGGAACTGGAAATGATATGTAAAATAAGATTGTTTCTATTTTAAATAAAATTTATAAAGAGACTCCTATTAGGTAACTTAGGAAGATATATCACAATATAAGAAGAATTTAATGCACAAGATATATTACTGATATTAAAAATCATAACATCTAACTCAAAAGACATGCTATTTAAAAAAGATATCAGCTTGTATAGAGGGACAAAGAAAATAAAAAGGAGAAAAGAAAGAATATTTTGAGAGTGCAAATAACGTAAAATGTTTTGCCCATAAGTAATTGTAGTAGAGCACATAAATGTGATGCATCTATCTAAGTGTCTGCACTTGAAAGTATACAGCAAGTGTATGAAGAGTGTATTTTGAATGTTAGAAAATAGTAAAAATGCATTCTCAGAACTACTAGAAGACATCTGATAATTTTCTGAATAAGCATATTAAGGGAATGCACTCTGGCTAAATATTTTTCATTCTAGTTAAAGAATGTTCATGGGTATATATGACTTGTGGGTGCTTTACTCCCTTGGAAGCCTACAAACATATACCAGGACTTTAAAAGATTATCATCAGGCAGGAAGCTGTCAGGTCAGATTCAGCTCAGGTATTCAGAGCCTTATGTCTGAAATGTGAGATGTCTTCAGCAATAGAGATTTCTTCCAGTCTCTGGAGTGTAACAAAGGGGAACCAGAATTAGCCTATATTTTGTTTGAGTCTCTTTGAATGTCAACTGGAATGGGAGTAACTTGTATTGTGTTTTTGTTATACTACGGCTCTTGGGGAGAGTTTTGGTGAGCCCATGTGGGACACTTTCATTTTACTTCTTTGTGTAATTTATCCTGAATGGAAGGGACATATAACCAGGGGTAAGTAAATCAAAAGTATAATAATATTCAACAATGAATGTCATACATTACTTAGGAGGAAAAAAATAGACAATATTTTCTGGAAACTTTGGGACCATGTTTTCAATGGGAAAGAAACATAGTTACTTGTGTATAACTGAGACACATGTTGCTAGGGAGGTAATTCTAGAACTTTAATAACAGGGTTGAAAGGAACCCTCTTCTTCATGTTACATCTATAAAATATTGATCAAAGTTGTTGATATAACAAATGAACTACTAACAAAATTATGAAGAGAAAAATCAGGTAATCCAACAGTCAATCTATTGAAAATCATTCACAAGCCTAATTCTACATGCCAGAAGGACCAGAATTTATTCAGAGATATATTCTCCCCACCCCCCCACACACATGTGACACAGACACACATAAAACACACACACACACACACACACACACACACACACAAACACACAGAGTGACAAAGGCAAAGACAAAGAGATATGTAGTGTGAGTCTTTATAAAAGGTTCAATATTTCAGATAATCTAGTCATTATATTTATTATACCATTATCCTTATTTTTATTGAAAATAGATTATTCTGTCAAATAAATTATCACAATTACAATTTTATCTCTCTCTATTCCTACTAGATAAACCACCTATCCACTCTTCTTCAGATCCACTCAATCCCCCCCTTTTTAGACTTAATTTGGGACACTAATATATGTTACTTAGTATATTTTAAAAAGCAAGCTCAGTAATTAAGTAAAAAGGGACTCAGAATTATAGTCTTAATTAAAGATTACTGATTAGTATGTTTGCGAAACATGGAGAGAAGACTGCACTTTCTCAAAAGTGACATCATGATACCTACTTTTAATTCATTGTATGATTGCAGAACTATGAACATAGTAAAAACAGAGTATTACATCTTGTAATTGTTTGTGTCCTCTGGGCCACAGGACTTTTCCTTCAATAGGAGCCCACTTACAGAAATTCCCAGAAACACTTTAGAAGTCATGCAGAAGCTGCGCGAGCGCCTGTGCACAGAGACAGAGCCAGGCAGCTCTATAAAACCCTGAAGAAACTCTCTTCACAGATGCTGGGTGACATCCTGGAGGAGATTGGCTTCAGGCAGACCATCAAGCTCTTGAAGAACCAGCAGCCCCTGGTCCCATTTGACAAGGAGTTAGCAGCCAGGTGGTCAGAGCAATCCCAGTTTGGGTCCGAGCCCGGGCCCCCTCAGGACTTTTCCTTCCATAGGAGCCCAATGACACAGATTCACAGAAACTCTCCAGAAGACAAGCCACAGAAGCCTGCTTCCCGGGGACACAGAGAATATGGGAGCCAGGTGGTGGAAGTCAGTAGTAATAGCCCACAGCCCAGCGCGTGTCAGAGCATGGACACAAGCTCTAAGCAAATTGCAACATGCAGCGCGAACATGGAGACAGCAGGAAGAAGGAAACAAAGAGGGTTTTTCCGGGACCCTCAGCTGGAAACTGAGAGCCAGGGGAGGGTAGGCAGGCCCCCAGGAACTGTGGGGGAGCCATGGCCTCTTGAAGGGATGAAGCCCCTCCCCAGAAAGCCAGTGGCTGGAACAACTAAGCAGCGCCTGTCTCCACTGAGGGCAAAGGGACCAGGACCCTGGACCCTGGAAGACTACCCTCCTGGTTCTTTTGAGGGTTGTCTCAACTATGACTGCAATCCATCTTCCTCTGTGCTGCCTCCCCGCAAGAGGAAGAAGAAAAGCACCTGGAAATCTGAGGACCAGAGCCCTGGAGCAAAGGTGCCTAGAGGCCAGTCTCAAAGCTGCAAGGATATGAATCTCATCCTAGGTGCCAGTCCCTTTCCAGAGATCACCTCAAATCTCCAAGCCTGCTTTCCCCAGGATGGACCTGAGCACTCTTCCTTGCACACTGACCAAGAAGCAGCACCATGGGCGTGTAGGAAAACCTTCAAAACGCCAGTGTATTCTGGTGTCAGACCTGCCAGAACTCTCCCACAGATTTCGAACAAAGGACGCCAGGCTAAGTCTCAATCTAAGGGGGAAACTCACTGCCAACCCGCTCTGGAGGAAGGAGCACTCTGGAGTCAGCCAGAGGAGGACTACCCCAGGACCCAGATCAAAACTGCTAAGCCAGCTGACCTCCAGACTGAGACCCAGACACACCTCAGGATGCAAGAGTCCCAGAAGCTAAAGTTGCAAACCCTGTGTGCCAGCATCCAGAGCTCACAAGCCAAGAATCATCAAGGCGGCCAAACCAAAATGATCTGCTTCCATGCCCAAGCAAGAAACCCTGGCCAGCATGCACACTCTGGACCCAGAGGGGAGGCCTTCCCCGAATATGAGCACAGCCTCCCCGAACCCTCTGGCCCTGGCCATCTGCAGAGAGGTCCCCGCCCGCCCTTGGGCTGCAGCAGCAATGGCAGCAAGAAGACCCAGGCTAAGAAACCTGCTCCACTCATGGCCAACGCCTTCAAGGATTACAGGAATAGTTGGGCTAGAAAGTGAACCGACCCTGACTCACCGAATGACCAACCAACCAACCAACCATGCCTCTGTCCTCACATTACTGGCACCTTTGAGAATGCAGGACTGAAGGAATACAAATAACAAAGAACGCAGGGATTTGTTTGAACACCAAGAGAGATTTAGCACTTGGACCCTCCATTTTATATACAAATGACTGCCTACTTATCTGAATGGAGACTTGGACATATACACATACTTTTTATGTGCATGCAAATATGTAGAAAGAGACTTTAAGGGATGCATAGATGCATTGGTTTACGTAGAATTGCTACTGAATGTTACTTAGGGATAGTAAATGGATAATTGTACAAATATCAAGGCAGATGAAAATATAGATAAATATATACATATATTTTTAATACATTAATGCACAAACAGTTAACATAAATATTTGAACATCAAAGACATTAAAAGTAAAATATGCGCTTATAAATGTGTGTGTGTGTGTGTGTGTGTATAATAAATTGAAAAACACAGGAGGGGTGTGCAAAGGGTCCCAGATGTCCCAGAGGATCTACTTACTTAGAGAAAGACATGAAATTTGGAAACCATACTTAGATCCCACATCTTGAGAAGCACTGGATTCAAGGGCACACTGTGCAACCAAGAAAAAGTTGGAGAGAAAACTAGAGGTGTGTGTACTAGTGGGCAGATATTAATTGGAGACTTACAGGAAGCAAGTGAAAGTGAGTAAGATGTATTGAATCTCAGGAAGAAATGGATTGTGAGTGTGTGTGTGTGTGTGTGTGTGTGTGTGTGTGTGTGTTTGTGATTGGATCTATAAGAAACGAATGTTAAGCAGGGCTGCATTGGCACACACTTTAAACCCAGTACTTGGGAGGAAACAGCAGAAAAAGAACTGTGTGCTCCAGGCCACCCTGGTCTACACAGCCAGTTCCAGGACAGGCTGTGAAGCTGCATAGAGAAACCCTGGCTCTAACAAAAAAAAAATAAATGAAAAAAAAAATAATATTAAGGTTAGTAAAAAGGTGCAAGGCCTGCAGAACATTCCAGATTACTAGGGGAATATTACATGCATTGTGGAACCAACCCTTTGATATAAATGCTTGAGAGTCCCGGGGATTCAAGGTCAAGGTATCCCAAAAATGGAAACCGGGAGAGAAGACCAGAGTTGTGCACATTGGCTTATGAAGAAAGAATTGAGATCCCCAAAAGGAAATGGGCAATCTTGTTGGTGTTTGTGTGGGGTTATGGATGTATTTTTCTGAGTGTTTGTGTGTTTTTGAGTGTGTGTATGCACACACTCACAGAGATAGGGAGACAGATAGAGGCCACCCAAATGCAAATTCGTGGCTGGACTATTTGCATATTCATCTGTGTCAGGGAAGGCCTAGGTACAACTGGCTTGTGGAAAGAGAAGGGAGGAGCTGCCCACCTGGTGAGGGCAGGGATGCTCTGACCTGCAAGCCCACCAAGGAAAAGCTCTTGACTTAATGATGCTCATTTCTGAAGCCTTGCTCACCCTATATTAACTGCACAAAAAGTGGAAGGGGAAGGGGTTCCATCCCTTTCTTACTCACTCTGTGTGAACAGTTAAAATACATGGCATGCACCCCTAGTATGGACTACTACACTGGTCGGCTCCCTCTTCCTAGAAGAGACAGAAGGACTTAGAGGGGCCCACAGGTGGCAGGGGCACCTGTAAGGGAGGCAGTGGTCTGGCAGCCATGGGGTTCTTTTGGGAGGCAGTAAGGACATGAAGGGGGAGAAAGAAGGCAGATGGGTGTGGCTGAGAGACCTCTGGATCCCCAAGGGCAGGCCCAGGAAAAGCAACCCAGGAGGTTGATTGGGCAGTCAGGAGGAGGCATGACACTGCCACCACCTTAAAGGTAAGGTGAGCCAGCAGAACAGTGCTGAGGCTAAGAGCCAGCTGACAAGCAGGCCAGCCCAGAAGCTCTTTCCTCTGCCCCAAGAGAGGCAGCCACGTCCCCAGGCAGTGGGCTAGCCCAGTCAACCCTGTTGCTTTTCGGGTGCCCGGCATTAGTGGAGATGAAGGTTACCTGCTGCCCAAAAGCCCTACAGAAGCTGCGCGAGTGCCTGTGCATGGAGATAGAGCCCAGGCAGCTCTACAAAACCCTGAAGAAACTCTTTCCAGCCCATGCTGCGAGACATCCTTGAGGAGACTTGCTTTATGCAGACCACCAAGCTCATGAAGAAACAGCAGCTCCTGTTCCCCTTTGCCAAGGACTTAGCTGCCCTGTGGTCAAAGGGGTCCCAGTTTGGGTCCCAGCATGAGACCGGGCCCCAGAAGGACTTTGTCTTCCATAGGAGCCCAATGGCAGAGATTCGCAGCAACTCTCCAGAAGAGAAGCCACATAAGCCTGCTTCCCGGGGACATAGAAATGATGGGATCGAGGTCTTCCAAGTCAGTAGTAGCAGCTCACAGCATAGCACGTGTCAGAGCATGGACACAAGCTCCAAGCCAATGGCAACTGGCAGCCCAAATGCGGAACTAGCAGGAAGAAGGAAACAAAGAATGTCCTTCAGGGACCCTCAGCTTGACACAGTGTGCTAGATGAGGGTAGGCAACCCCTAGGAATTGTGGGGGAGCCTGGATGCTGTAAGGGGAGGAGCCCCTCTCCAGTAAGTCAGAGGCTGTACCAGGGAAGCATGAGTGCCTGTCTTCCCAGAAGCCTCTGTCCTTTGCCTTCTGCAGAGGGCTCCCTGCCCACCACTGATTCTTTTTTTGGGCGGCGGCGGGGGGGGTATTTTTATTTTAATTAGAAAGAAAACTATGTTACATGTCAATCCCAGGCTCCTTCTCCTCCCCTCATCGCCTGTGTCCCCCATCTAACACCCTACCTATCTCATACCCTATCTGCTCCCAAGGGAGGGTGAGTGCTTCCATAGGGGGATCTTCAAAGTCTGTCATATTCTTTGGGGATAGGGCCTAGTCCAATCTCCTTGTGTCTAGGCTCAGGAAGTATCCCTCCAAGTGAGATGGGCTCCCAAAGTCCATTCCTTTGCTATGGATAAGTACTGAGGCCCCATAGATTTCCAAGGTCTTCTTACTGCCACCCACATTCAGGTGGTCTGGGTCGGTCTCATGCTGGTTTGCCGGTAACAGTCTGGAGACCAAGAGCTCTCCCTTGTTCAGGTCAGCTGTTTCTGGGGATTTCACCAGCCTGGTATGGACCCCTTTGCTCATCAGTCCTCCTTCTCTGCAACTGGATTCTAGTTCATGTCAAGGTTTAGTTGTGGGTGTCTCCTACTTCCACCAACTGCTGGATGAAGGCTCTACGATGGCATATAAGTTAGTCATCAATCTCATTATCAGGAGAGGGCATTTAAGGTAGCCTCTCCTCTGTTGCTTAGATAGTTAGTTGGTGTCATCTTTGTATCTCTTCAGACATGTCCCTAGTGCCTGATTTCTCTTTAAACCTGTAATGTCTCCCTCTATTATAGTGTCTCTCATCTTGCTCTCTTCTGTTCTTTCCCCAACTCAAACTGCCCCATCATGTCTTCCTCACCTCTCCTCTTCTCTCCTTCTCATTCTCCTAGTTCCCCGCCCCGTGCTCCCAATTTTCTCAGAGATCTTTTCCATTTCCCCTTCTCCAAGGGACCATGAATGTTTCTCTTAGGGTCCTCCTTGTTTACTAGCTTCTCTGGCAGTGGGGATTGTAGGCTGATAATCCTTTACTCCATGTCTAAAATCCACATCTGAGTGAGTACATACCATGTTTGTCTTTTTGTGACTGGGTTACCTTGCTCAGAATGGTTTGTTCTAGATCCATCCATTTGCCTTCAAATTTCAAGATTCCATTGTTTTTTATTTTCCCCGCTGAGTAGTACTCCACTGTGTAAATGCACCACATTTTCTCTATCCATTCTTCAGTTGAGGGGCATCTAGGTTGTTTCCAGGTTCTGGCTATTATAAATAATGCTATGATGAACATCATTGAACAGATATCCTTGTTGTATGAACGTGCTCCTTTCTGGTATATGCCTAAGAGTGGAATTGCTGGGTTGTGTAGTAGACTGTTTCCCAATTTCCGGGGGAATCGCCATACAGATTTCCAAAGTGGCCACATGAGTTGGCACTCCCACCAGCAGTGGAGGATTGTTCCTCTTCTCCAAATCCTCTCCAGTATAAACTGTCATTGGTGTTTTTGATTTTAGCCATTCTGATAGGAGTAAGATGCTATCTCAGAGTTGTTTGGATTTGCATTTCCCTGATGGCTAAGGATATTGAACACTTTATGTGTCTTTCAGCCATTTGAGATTCCTCTATTGAGAACTGTCTATTTAGTTCTGTACCCCACTTTTCAATTGGATTATTTGGTGTTTTGGAGACTAGCTTCTTGAGTTCTTTGTAAATTTTGGAGATCAGCCCTCTGCCAGATGTGGGCTTGGCAAATACCTTTTCCCAATCTGTGGGCTGTAGTTTTGTCTTGTTGACTGTGCCCCTTTGCCTTACAGAAGCTTCTCAGTTTCAGGAGGTCCTATTTATTAATTGTTGCTCTCAGTGTTTGTGCTACTGGTGTTATGTTCAGGACGCAGCCTTCTGTACCAATTCATTCAAGGGTATTTCCTATTTTCTCTTCTAATAAGTTAAATGTGGCTGGGTTTATGTTGAGGTCTTTGATTCATTTGGACATAAGTTTTGTGCATGGCAATAGACATGGATCTATCTGCAGTCTTCTAAATGCCAGCATCCAGTTATGCCAACACCATCTGTTGAAGATGATTTCTTTATTCCATTGTATAGCTTTAGCTTTTTGTCAAAAATCAGGTGTTCATAGTGTGTGGGTTAATATCAGGGTTTTCAACTAGATTTCATATATCTACCCATCTTTTTTGTGCCAATACCAAGCTGTTTTCAGGAATATCACTCTATAATAGAGATTGAAATCAGTGATGGTGTCACCGTTGGAAGTTCCGTTATTGAACAGGGTTGTTTTGGCTATCTGTCTTTGTCTTTTGTTTCTCCATATAAAGTTGAGAATTATTTTTTCAAG